CCCCCCCCCCCCCCCCCCCCCCCCCCCCCCCCATCCAATAGCTTCATTGGATTGGGACGTCGGGTTCACAGTGGCGTAGCCAGGGTTTCGCCAATGCCCCCCATTAAGCTAAGCGGAACGGTGGGGGGACTTCTCGCCCGGTTGACGAGGGGGTCGGATGCATTTAGATCAGAGTTGGAGGGGCTTGAACCAAACTTGGGGGGCTGAAGTTCCCCCCGCCCCCCCCCCTCCCCCCCTTCGCTACGCCACTGCGGGTTTATTATGCGAAATAATTCCATCACCCGTGCCAAAACTCGTGACTATCGGCACGAGTACAATTCAATCATTTTGCCATAAAAGTTAAGAAAAAGAGGGAAATAAAGGCTTTCAGAAGAGGCGTGACACCCCCCCACCTCCCCAACACCCGCCCCCAGTATGAGGGTTTGGGACTCCATGTGAAACGGAATCCCAGAATCCAGAGAGATTTTCGTTTGCTCATTCAGTTAGGTTGATAGAGGACATTAGTAACATGAGTATGAACGATGGTAAAGTGACGTAAATTGAGGGAAGCGGACATCCGGCACCTTCATCGCTCGTCCGGGAAGGTTCCCGCTCTTCCAAAATCTGAGGCGAATTGCGGTGGAAGAACGGCGGTGAGACCGATTTAACGACCGATTTAACGACCGATTTAGTGGGGATTTCGGTCCAAGCGCGATTTCGAGTCTTGCAGCTCGGGATTCGACTGGAAGTCAGGGGGAAAAGTTATATTATGTACTGTGAAAAACGACAACTGTGCTGTGAAAAAAAAAAAACGTAATGTCGGGTTCTTGTGGCCGTTGCAAATGTCATCTTCCACGATTCTTTGGGATATCCCGATCGGTGAAGAGCGAATCGTCGGTGCGCCCTCGAGGTTCAAGGCGGCGCATCGGTTCATTTTCTCATTCGCTCGTTTTCCATTCGAAATAGGGAGAGATCTCCAGGTACCTCGGGTACTTCTGGTACTTCTGGTACCTCGGATCCTTATCGTCTTCGCAAGTCACGAAAATCCCGGTCTCGTTGCAGATATTCAGGGCAATGACCCGAAAGGCAGAGCCGACACTCGTAATGGTCAACTATGGTCTTTAATGATTTAATGGCTCACGGGACGCAAAGATGTCTCGTTTGATATGCTCGTACTCGTGCCGCGTCCCTTGTCCCTCGTGCCTTGTCTCTCGTCCCTCGTGCTCGGCCTCCTCGCTTTCAGATATGGTAATGGCCGCAGAATGCGACGATTCCGCGGGGTCGTAAAGGCGGCCCCGTCGCTTTTCGAGGTGCCGCCAGCGGTTATTGTCGGCGGGCGCCCTAAGTACTTTCGAGTACTTGGGGTACTTGTTCGGTTTCCCCGATATATGTGACCTCGCTCCGGCCCAGACACGCTCCATAATCGAGATCGACCCGGTACTTTGCAGGAAGTACACGGTGAAATGTGTTCTTAGATGACTAAAATTATCTTATGACTATAATTATCCTGCTTTCGGATAATTTCGGGATAATTCCACGAATCTGTCATTGATCCTTTATTCGAGCCGCGAGCGCCTGATTCCCCGAGATGTGCGGCATTGCCTCGAATTTCCATTCTAAACTGGGAAATCCATTCGTGAAAGGCTCTGGCGTCTAATTTTTTTTTATGGTACGGCAGGAAATAAAAAATAAATAAATAAAATAAAAACAAACAAAAATAAGAAGAAAAAAAAACAAAACGAAAATATATTCCGTACCCAAAATGAATATAAAATCGGATGGCAATTCCTTTTCTCGAGTTTAATTCGCGAAACCGTTTTGGATTTGGCGATTGGAGCAACTGAAATCCATTTATTTATTTATTTTTAATTTACCGCGGTTATGGCAGAAGTAAAGAGCAAAGGCAAATGGAAAATGATTCCGTCATGGTCTCATACACATCCAATGAGAACAAGATAGTAAAAAATGAAATAAATGAAATAAAATAATAAATGAAATAAAATAATGAATGAAATAAAATAATGAATGAAATAAAATAATGAATGAAATAAAATAATGAATGAAATAAAATAATGAATGAAATAAAATAATGAATGAAATAAATTAATGAATGAAATAAATTAATGAATGAAATAAATTAATGAATGAAATAAATTAATAAATGAAATAAACATGTGGAAAGAGTCCTTCAGTGAATATTGGAGAACATTTTTAGCTGATGCTTCTTGCAACAGGTTTGGAATGAGGTCGGTCTGAATAAAAACGAAATTGTGGAAATTATATCACGGAAGTCTTGATATGATGAATTTTTGAGAGTTTCATTAGTTTTTTCCTGGGAAACTCAGATTATCCGGATTTTAGTTTATTTTTTTTTTGCATTTCAATATTTCCATAAAAAATGAAATAATATGGATGCTGGATGCATGGAGCCGAGGGGCGAAGAGGAGACGATTTCGTTTTTTTTTTTGCTCCGAATTCTCCGGAGTTTTTTTTTTTCGCTTTGAATCGTCGCCAGAACGAGAATGAAATCCCGCGAAAAACGGCGGATTCCGAGAATTTGATGATCGCAGATCGCGGATACCATTACTATGTACCATTACTATACACCATTACCACATGCCATTTTTTAAGACCACGCGTGAGTCACGCGGGTCGGATATCGTACGGGTAAGGACTGTTCAACGTAATTCTTATTTGATGGAAAAAGCAACGGATTTTTCATAACCGCAGGTATTGCCGACCCATCACGAACCCATGACATGCGGAGAGATTCCATTTGTAGTGGACCGGTAAATGGAAGGCTACGTACCTCTGTTTGCGTGCGGGAAGTAACCCCATGATTCCCGTAATGGATCCTTTCAAATCGATGAGTCTGGTAAAGGAAGAACCACGATGCCATCACGCTCGCGACGGGCACTCACGAGCGGCATGGGCACTCACGAGCGGCATGGGCACTCACGAACGGCATGGGCACTCACGAACGGCAAAGATGCGAAGGAAGTGGTCTGGGCGGAAGAGCCTCATTAAAAGCGACCGCTTCCTCGCGAACAAAAAATCGCAGACCCTCCTCGGACGGAACCGCGATCTCCCAGATTTTCTCTCGCGTCCCACACGGAAATCGCAAGGGATGCTCTCGGCACTCCGCACCTTGGTCCGAATGCCTGGCCCCTTCCACGACCCCGTCGTCCTCCGCTCTGCCGACCTCGAGGTGGAGGCAGGTGGAGGAGACCCCCAAAATGAGAGAGAGACCGAGCCGTGCATCGTCCTCCTTCCGTTGCCTCTTCGTTCAGACCCCGCCCAGCGAGTGGTGAGCGAGTCGCGAGCGAGTCGTGAGCATGGATCGCTTCGTGCTGATATTAGCTAATGGCAGCTGCGGAATGCACATCATCGAACCGGACGCGGTGCAGGGGATCGGGGGAGATGGTGGATGATTCATAAATATTTTTCAAAATGGGTACAATTCCGTTCCGCTCCAAAAAAGAAAGAGTGGGATTATCGATGATCCATGTTTCATAGACGCAGTGACTACTTTGTTTAAGGACCGCCATTAACTTCCTGCCGTGAAAGCCGGTCCTTAATCACGTCCCGGTCGGGTTTTAGAATCGGACTCTATCCAAACACCGCGACGCGTCGACCATAAATCACGCGTCGGGAAGACTCGCATTCGCAAGGTCAAAGCGACAGGAAACCATTATTCGAGTCACGGTCGACAAATGACCGAGAAAAGGATGGAATCGACCCGATCAAAGGACATCGCGGCTATTCATAGCGGGGAGTCCTTTGTCGCGCGAAAACAGAAGCCCAGACAGATCTCCATCGATCGCGATCCGTTCAGCCATCGACCGACGAGATCTCGCGAGAAAACCCGATGGGGGGGCACGGAGACCGAAGAGGCACTCGACGGTGGGGGCACGGAGACCGCAGAATAAATGAGCCGATCACGCAACGGGAATTAGGACCATGGGAGATAGAAAGGCTCGATAAAAATGAAGAGACCTCAAGGCCGATGGATATTTACGACGCTTTCGTGCCTTCCCTTTTCCCCGGACGAGAAATCATCCGGGGTGCCTCCACTTCGCCCTCCATTTCCTCTTATCTCCTCGCACCTGGGTATTCAAACACGAAGAACGAAGGTTGCTTGCATATCTCGTGCAGTTGTCATCTCTGAATCGACTTCCATCTCCATTTTGGATTCCTTATCGGGATTTCATGGCGGTAATTTTTTTTACTGAAGCCGTTTGTTTTATCGAGCATCGGTCTTGGTTTTCTTTTCGATTTATTGACTTCCCTGAGCTGATCATTTTCAGTTGATTACTTTGAGTCATCACGATTTAAAATGATTAATTATTTGTTAAATCTTGAACGGCACCTTTCCCCAAAGGCTGTGGAAATCTCGTGAGGATCTCGCGATCCTCACGAGAACCGCAGCCTCGTGATATTAAGACGGCTCCGCCGCCCTGCGTGTGGACACAATACGTCCAGCAGATCCCATAATGATGATCCCTCGACGGGGGGGGGAGGGGGGGGGGGGGGGGGGGGGACCTCCATAGTAACCACATGGATATAATATGGATCCGGGACGCTACGAACGTCATTGATTAGTGCATCGTTACCACTCTCCGCTTGCACGCACGAACTCACGCGGATACGCACGCTCAGGGGGGGGGGGGGGGGGGGGGGGGGGGGAGGGGGAGAGGGGCCGGGGAAGCAGGACTAATCACGCGGTTTCCCTCGGAGCACCTTGTCGTGTTAGAAGGGGAAAAGGGAGAGGAGAGGAGAATTTCGTGCAGACCGACGGCATTCGATTCGTGTTCATTCCCGGCCGGAGGCCCGTCCCGCGAGGATCCTCGACGCCCCGCTCCGAGAGTGCCCCTTTCCCCCCCTTTTTTTTTTGTTCGTGGGAACTCGTTTCCATGTTGAGTCTGTTCTCGGTGAGTTCCATCGGTCGTCAGCAGGATTCCAGCGGCGATTCCATCTCCGTGCCTCGGGATCCCCTGGACCCGGAGTACCATCTTCTTTATGACGAATACCATCAGAGCGGTAAGGCGCGACGCGGGTATATAATTATTCAGAACTCCTCTAGGGATAAATGTAATTCCTAATCTTTTTTTTTTGGAATTCGCCCAACATCACACACGAAATGTCGCCAGACCCCAACGGGTACGTGCTAGCTCCAAATCGCGCGATCCGACAGGAATTCCATCGGAAGCAATCCGAAGGGTCACCAAAAGGTGAAACAGTTTCCCTTTTTACCCGCCAAGTCTTAAAGCTGCATGGCAAAATTTTGCAGTTAGGGCGACACGCACCGAATCCGATTAAGCCAATCCGATCCTATCGCTTTAGCCGAGAGAAACTTATTCCCATAGACGCCCACGATGAAAATCGGCTTGAAGCGAAACGGATCTGAGACATTGTTGAGACATTGTTGATGCTGAGACATTGTTGACGCTGAGACATTGTTGACGCTGAGACATTGTTGACGCTGAGAGAAATGCGATTTCTCGACGTTGCCGGTTTCCTCGAGTTCCCGCCTTCGCGAGGCCCTGGGAGATTCCGCGTGTTTTTGGGGCTTCGTGATCGGAAAGTGTCGGATGTGACACGTTCGGGAAATGCTTCTTGAAACGAAATGTCTGCACTTTTCATGTTATTCGTAATGCGGCGTTCAAATGTGAAGAATGGACTCTTCACATTTGACCCGACTTGGAGTCGTCAGTGTGCATGCTTCAATTTTCATCGCGTGGATGAATATACGTATTGAGAATGGTATGAACAATGTAAAATAAGCAAGATTTCATTTTTCAATTTTTCTCCTCCGTGCGTGCCTTCTGGGAAAGGAGATGAACTTTCGTAGCAAAAGTAATATTCGCATATTTCGAGAAGTTTCTGGCTGAAATCTTGCCATAAATACAAGGATAAATAGCAATTTAAAAAAAATTGATTTTATGGGGGGAAAAAATTGTTGTATTCACTGTGAGACTGTGTAATACACAACTGAAAACAATCACTGAAAACGGGCTCCTTTCGCCGGAGCACAAGACCGCAATCTCTGGGGCCACGTGTCGATGCGCACACTTTCCGGTGAAAATTTTGCGTCTGCGAGGACCGGAGATTTTTTTCAGGCTCTCCAAATTGGGATGTCGTCTGTGGCAGGCCATCGGACCGGTGGAGATCCGGAGATCCGGAGATCCGGAGATCCCGGTCTGGAGGAGCGATGGGCGTTTCTTTTTGGGGACGCGACTGCGAAGACTTGGCTTTGGGGGCAGGAGGCTGATGTTGCCCTCGAAAGCCGGGTCCTGATGTTGCCCTCGAAAGACGGGGTCCAGTGTTGCCCTCGAAAGATTGATCGAGGGGTTTCACCGCTTTTTCCAAAATGGTCGTTTCGTCATTTCTGGCCCTGGTTTTCATTCCTGCCTCACAAAAATGAAGCTCTGTGGCCGTACACTCTGTCATTTTGTTCCTTAAACTTTTCCTCGATGGTGAAAAATTTTTCATCGGTAAAGAGAATCATCCTGTGCATGTTTCCGGCGAAACGCTGCAGTTTTCATCGCCGAGTGCCTTATTCTTTGAAGCCGCGGCCAGTATTTAAAGCACTCATACCAAGGTCAGCTTCGATCAAGCGGGACACGGTTCGAGTCCAAATATCCATTTCCCTGGCCAGAATTTTTTTTTTTTTTTGCTTCCGAAGAGGATTTCGTCCGATTCGGGAAGCCACAGCTTTGACGACATTCGGGGTCCGAACCGTTCGGTCTTCCGTTCTACCAGACTCGTTCTACCTTTGTATATATACCTTCATTCATCAGAAAAATATTCCCGACGACCAATGAGAAATGTGGATGCCCTATCCCCCCGTAGATTCGGGATCGGACAGCGACGCGGAAGGCGGCCTGGGGAACGTGATCCGGATGGTCATGCGGCCGCCGGGTCACAGCGGGAAGGCCAAGCGGGGTCACCTCTGCTTCGACGCCTCGTTCGAGGGAGGTAAGAGAGGTCCACGCGCGGGAGGTCCGCGCGCGTCGAGGTCCACGCGACCTCCCATTCCCCCTCTGATCCTCTCCCGCTCCGCGAAGGGAACCTGGGCCGGGTGGATTTCATCACGGAGTACGAGTACGACCTGTTCATCCGCCCGGACACGTGCAACCCGCGGTTTCGCGTCTGGTTCAACTTCGTCGTCGACAACGTCCGATCCGACCAGAGGGTCATCTTCAACCTGGTCAACTTGAGCAAGACCAAGCTTCTCTATCGAGACGGCATGACCCCTTTGGTCAAGTCGACCTCCCGTCCCAAATGGTTCGCGCGATTTCCTTCCGATGTCCGAATAAATTACATTGTTTAATTAAAATGATAATTACAGGCAGAGGGTCCCGCACCGCTTCACGTATTACCACAAGAGTCCGGAGCACAGAAACCATTACGTGCTGAGTTTCGCCTTCGCCTTCGACAAGGACGATGACGTGTATCAGTTCTCCTTCGGGTATCCTTATACCTACTCCAAGAATCAGAGCTACCTGGATCAGGTGGAGAAGAAGAAGCATTCTCACGTGACTCGGACGCTCCTGGCACAATCTGTGGTAGGTTTCCCGCTTTTGGACCGGGTTTTCGCTCTCACGATGATCGAGTGAATGCGGGTGCCGGAGGCCGGTATGAAGTAGGGGGACGGAATCCAATGAATGAATGAATGAGTAGGCGAATGGGGATGCTAGTGATGAAGTGCATGAGCAAGACGGAATTTGTTTTTAAAAAAAGGTATTACTGCCGAAATTTGACGAATTCGAAATGCGATAAATTTGAATATATCAATACTCGATGAACGTAGCCATGCATGATGCACCGAGACTGAATCTGCTTGAAAAACTCGTCCCCGACAGCAACAGCGCCGTTGCGACCTCTTGACGGTGACGCAACCGTGGAACCTGGAGTCGGGGAAGCGCGAGCGGGTGGTCGTGCTGCTCGGGCGCTCCCACGCGGGGGACAGCCCCGTCTCCTACGTCATGCAAGGTGGGTGGCCGCGGGGGGTGGGGGTGGGGGGGGGGGGGGAGGCTTTTCCGGGGGGGCGCTGCGGTGTGGGACA